ACGAAGAAAACCCTTGGAATTCCAGGTGGGAGACCGAGTCCTTTTAAAGGTCTCGCCCTGGAAGGGCACGATACACTTCGGAAATCGTGGAAAGCTGAACCCAAGGTACATAGGGCCTTTTGAGATTCTCGCTAGAATCGGCCCTGTAGCCTACAAACTCAACCTACCCCACGAGCTAAATAACACACATCATACCTTCCACGTCTCAAACCTGAAGAATTGCCTGTCCGACGAGACTCTCGTGATTCCCCTCGACGAGATCGAGGTCAATGAGAGCCTCAACTTCGTGGAAGAGCCTGCGGAGATTTGGATCGGGAAGTAAAACGAACGAAACAAAGTCGCATCCCAATTGTGAAAGTTCGGTGGAACGCCAAGCGGGGACCGTAATTTATTTGGGAGCGCGAAGATCAAATGAAACTCAAATATCCCCATCTCTTCGCTTAGAAGTATTGTAATTCTTACCTGTATGAATTCAAAATTTCGGGACGAAATTTCCCTAACGGGGGGATGATGTGACAACCCAAACTTATTGTCGTTACATAATCCCGTCTTCACTAACGGAATTCATCGTTATATATTATTTTCCGTAATGTTTGGAGTCGCCAATAAATAAATATCTAGTTATTTATATTTCTTGATATTATCATAAGTAATTATAACTTATAAGTGTTAACGCCGTTCAACTAAATAGAGTTAAACTACTTTTCAACCACTTCACCCGGGTAAAAAGTTTTAACACCGTTAAACTTTAGCATCCGGTAGCCGTGTACCGGGTGCAATACCCGAGGCACATAAAATGAGAGTGAACACCACTTGGACACTCTTTTACCACCCATTCACCCTCTCTCACTACTTTCTCTCTCTAGACCCGAACCCGACTCCAAAACCGCGAATTCCAACTTCCAAACGTAAGAGTTTCTTCCCTATCTTGTTCTAAATGTATTTTATTGTATTTAGAACACAAAAATCATATGAGTTAGTGGGAAAAATGGAGTTTACGGCCTAAGAAGCCCCTTAGGCCGTAAACACCTCAAATCTTGGCCAACATTCCATTTTTCCTTCCTTTAAGCTTGTGTACTAATTAAGGGATATACCTAGACGAGTTTGGACACCCAAACATAAGATTTTAGAGCCTAAAAGGGAGTTTACGGCCCAAGCCTATGCTTAGGCCGTAAACACCCATTTTCCATGTTATAAAGTCCCAAAAACTCATATAGGGCATTTAGGAATTTAACTATGACCCTAGGAAATGTTTAAGGCCATTAAACATCTCATTTTGAAGCCAAAAGAGGAGTTTACGGCCAAGGCTATGATTGGGCCGTAAACTACCCAATTTATATGCCAAAATGTCCCAAAAACCCACCTAAGGCCTTCTAGAATTCAACTAAGACTTAAGGAAGTGATTTGGACCATTTAACAATCCATTTTGTAGGACAAAATGGAGTTTACGGCCCAAGCACAAGTTTGGACCATAAACTCCCCCAAATGACACCAAATGAAGGTTTTACCCCCCCCCCCAAATTAACCCTAGGCATTTACTAGAAATATATGGAGTTGAAATAAGGCCTTAACTTGCACTTTTGGAGGAAAACAAGAGTTTACGGCCAAGCCTAGGGGCTTACGGCCATAAACTCCCAAGGAGTGGCCTTTGGTCCAAAAACTCCAAGGTAGTGAACTCTTGGACTCCCCCGCAAACCCCTCATGGCCTTATACCACTCTCGGGAACCCCATCTAAGCCCTAGAATCCCGAATCGATGCTAAAATGCCTAAATACCTTAATAAAAAGCATAAAATGATTAATTTATTGTAAAATACATATTTTATATGACATTAGGGTCCTAAAAGGTGCACAAGTTGTTATTTGGTACAAAACGGTCAACCGACACTCTCACCCGATTTACGCGATTTCAGGTGAGTTCATACCCCTTAAATGAACCTTTCAAATGTTTTATATGTTTTAGGGGGAGATAAAAGTTGATTATACATGTTTATGGAAATTTATACAAGACAATTATTCATGTTACGGAAATTAATCACATGTGATTCACTATCCCTAGTTCAAATCACATGTGATTTATCACTATGCCTTATAAATAGATTCTACGTTTTCAAAACTATTTTGGATAAATAATCAAGTTTTTAAATGCTTATTTTGGACAATACTTTTATTAAACAAATATTCTTATAAAATGTAACCACGCTAATATAATTATTTAAGTAAGACTTGAAGGACTTAGGACCGATAACTCGCCTTATTTCCTGTTCTTGTTTGATTGTGGGCTTAGGGTAGTGGTTATCCGTCCGACTGTCGTTGATTTCTTAGTTATATATCTTGTATATTAGTATGGGACACGAGTATTTCTCATTTCATTAGATGCCTAAATCACTAACATGACAAGAACCATACACACTAAGTTAACTATAATAGGTATAGTTAATGCTACTACTTACTATAGCTATTACTCTCTACACTATAATATGCACTATTACCAAACAATACACTAGTAAGAGAACACACTATAAACTATACTAAAAGACTACTACTCTATAACAAAAGAGAAAGCACTAAACAGACGATAACACACTAACTCACTACGAGATACTTTATTCGCTACCCACTACGCCCAGAGTTTTCCGACAGGAAGACGATGCTATATGTATAGATCTATATGGGGCAGATGCTATTACATCCCGACTGTTAACTTCAGTCCGAGCCGCACAGGTCCAGGGATGCCACTACTTCACTACATTGTACATGACCGGGAAGGTCATGGGGTCCGCTATTACTCACACTATTGGTAACATACAAGAAATACACTATAACCGCACTAAAATACTAAACTAAAGGTTAAGTTAATATCCCGAAGTAACCAAGCATCTAACACTAAAGGAAGTTGGTACCACTATTATTGATTTCAGGCATAACTTACCATATTGCATTACTTATTGGAGAGGCACTGTTATACTTTTACGATAA